GGACCAGCCCCGGTCCCACTGCAGGGCAGCTGGAGGCTTCCTCGTGACTGATGTGGGAACAAGCGAGCGGTTTCAGCGCGGTTTCAGCAGGGTTTCGGCAGGACCCTGTCTGATATATTATGGTATTTGGCTGCCCTGACTGGAAGTATGCCACCATGTCACCTCCACCTCCTGTGTCTTCCTCCTTTGGAAGCTGCATTAGAAAGATTATACTGTGCCTGATTAAACTGGGAAATATGGGAAAGCCATGCCTCCCAAAAATATCCCTGTCTAGTAGCAAATGTTCCCGGGAGCAGTGGAACAGGGGGTGCCGGGGCCTCCCTGTCCCCTCTGCCGGCTGTCTCCAAACCCACTGGGGGCGTGCAGCCGGTGCCATGTGCACGTGGGTGCTGCGGATGGGAAGGATGTGCAGTCCTGATGCCATGGCGAGAAGCGTGGAGGCAGATGGAGCTTTGCCTCCATTTTCTGCATTTAGCTGGGGCTGCAAGATGCAGGGTGGGAGGGATGAGGGTGGCTATCAACTGTGCTTGATTTCAGAGATCATTCCCAATCCTTTAGGAAACCAGGGCTCCCTTCACCCAAAACAGCAAGCTGACCTGTCCCCTCTGTAAATGGGGAAAATCCATGCTCCTGGATTTACCATGCATTTATCCCACCATTGTAGAGAGAAAAACATACCAAAGGCCTCCAAATAATGAGCAGTGTTTGCTCAGTGCAGGGAAAACCCCTTTAATCCACAGCAACCAAAGCAAACCCGCTCTTTTTGGTGATTCAGGACTCCCTCTTGTGTCCAAAGGAGCCATGGATCGCTCCGGAGTCTCACGGTGACAGTCACATCTGCATTAGCAAACCAGAGAATCCTATGAATGCAGATGTCAGATTTCATCTCTTCTAAAAATCCCTTTGCCCTAATCCCTAAAAACCCATGTTGCATGAGAAGCCTGCTGTCCCTGTGTAACATCTAGCCAAAGTGGTGTTAACCAGTGACCCAGGGTGGCACCAGCATGGACTGAGGGTGCAAGCGAGCACAGACCCATGTCCCCACACCATGTCCCCCCAGGTTTTGCAGTCCTGTAAGAATAACTTGCTGCAGAGCCTCTTAGGAACTGTGGTCCTGTGGTGCCCACTGGCCTTGATTTACCCAGGCTTCAGCTGGGCTCTGTCTCTTCTCAGCATGATGCTGGCAAGTGTTGCATTTAAGGGATTAAATTTTGAAGCACGTTAGTCTTCAGAATTGGAATATATTAGTACTTTGGTTGCCTTGAACATAGTAAAGACAGGAAAAGCTGCAAAGAGAAGTAATTATTTTGTTAAAGGGCATGAAAGTCTGTCCTTAGGTGAGGGAACAGGCTGGGATGGGGAACATGCTGTCTCCCAGCACTGAACCATCACCCAAACCCTCTTGAGCACCCCCATGGAGGTCTCCTCAGTAAAGTGGTGCCCCGAGGCAGACCCCAGCCCCAGGCTGCTTCCCCCCACCTTGGGATTCCCTGTGGCAGGTGCTGGCTCCAGGCAGAGGGTGAGAAATGGTGCCTGGCCCTGTCCTTGCATCCCAGAAGGCAATGGCTCTGAGTCATCCCCCAGAAACAGCCACTGGGATGCATCAGAATATATCTAGGGCGGTGCATGGTGGGAGCAGGACCTCTAACATAGCCTTCAAAGGAGTGCAGCCATGCTCCAGGAGCACCTGGAATGAAATCCAAGTCAGGATGTGGAAGAAGGGTCTTTGCTTAGAGATGGGAAATCTGGGCCCCTGCCACCATACACACTGACAAGGGAAATCTGCACTTCTGCAAATGCCCAATGTGAACAGGCACTTAAAAAACACAGGTATGCCTAGAGGGGAAGGATGAAATCCATCTGGCATGGCGCATGCGACGGGCATCATGCCAACCCCTGCATCCCTCCTTGCTGCTTGGAACCAAAGCTTCCAGCATCCCCTGGCTCTCTGGAGTGGTTTGCTTACAAAAGAATTGGAAATTGGAGTTTTGTAGAGTAACCCAGAGCCTTTGTTGTGCAAATGCAGGGGGAGGTTGCTGTGGTAGGTATGGGGGTGTCCCAGAGAAACCATCCCTCCTGTTGCTTCTCTTTCCTCCCTGCACCAGACCCACAGCAGAGCTGGAGCACAGCTATCTATAGCCTGAGGAGGGCTGCCAGCACAAATCCCTTAATACGGGTGCATGGCTGGCTCAGTGGCACATCAGCTGTCACTGAAGTTAGGTACGGCACATTAGCTCAGGCTTCAGCTGCATCCTGACATGCTGTGGACCTGTCAGTCAATCCAAGGCACCAAGACAAGCAGAAGGAAGGGTTTACCACAATCCCCAAAATCTCAGTTCAGGTTTTCCTTTCCACACTGCTGTAACCCATTGCGAAACAAACGGCATCCTTCAGGTCAAATATAATGAAACAAAATGCAGAAGCACAAATAAGTTGCAACTTTATTTGAGGTCAGGGTTTATTGCAAGGCTCCTTGGGCAATCTGTTATGGCTCCAAACATCAGCAAAATGCTCCACCTCCTCCTTCCCTGTGCAGGGCACCTGGCTCTGAGCTGGGCCAGACCCACTGACAATGAATCCCTTTAATTTACTGCTACCTAAATCCTCCTTGGAAGGCTTTAGATGAATGAACCCGTTTGCTCCCTTCCCTGGTTGCATTGCTCCTGTTGATGCATCTTCCATGGGAGCCAGGACAGGGCTGTCACACCATGAGCCACCTCAGTGCCTGCAGCCAGAAACTGCTTTAGGAAAAGGAGAAGGGTACAGATCAAGACTCAAGACCGACAGACATGCGAGTGCTGCAAATTGTTCTTTAATTAACATTCAGAGGAAGCTTAATTAAAGTTGCTCTCCAAAAGCACTTATTATCTTGTCAAGAGGCTGAGCTCAGCGGCAGCTCCTGCTGGTGCTGAGACAGTGTTTGAAAATCCCTCTTGAGCTGCCTTTACTATGCGTGTTTTCTGCTCACACCTGTCATCCTTTGGCTGAGTCCTGACCAAAGGAAAGTGTTTTGCAGTCAAAATCAGAATATTTTTTTCCAGCTCCATTTGCAGAGGTGTGTTTATTTATCTGCCTCCTGGTCCCGGTTGCATCTGCCAGATGCCAGCATTTCCTGCTGTAGCGTTACTCCCTCTGCACCACAGCTCCCTTCTGCCCAGGAAATACTTTCTGTCCAGATGACTTTGAAAGCCACACATGCATCCAAAGCGTTTGGCACTTTTACTGTTACTATCAGTAGCACTCCACTGAAGCTAATTGCATCCCCTAAGGAAGGACACAGAGTGACCACCTCTGTTTTATGGGAAGGTGATTTTTTTATCCAAACCTCCTGTGACTCCCCCTCAGGGCAATTTGGGTTCACAGTGAAAAGGCTGAGGGGGATTTGCCATGCATCCTTTAAGATTCTCTGCTTCTGTTACAAGTTCTTGGCAAGATCCCTTCAGGGTGCACAGACTTGAAACAGAGTGCACTGAAGTAAGCAAAGTTCATAATGTCAGTGAAGTCACCCCGAATGACACCCTGAGTTCACTCTTAAGCTTATCCAGTTCCAACCCCCTGCCACAGGCAGGCACACCAGGACACTGGACCAGGTTGCTGCAAGCCCTGTCCGACTTGGCCTTGAACACTTCTCGCCCACCCAAAATCTCCTTGAGACATAGGGGTGAAAGGATCCACTTTGTTTCCTCCCATGTTTGAAGGGGTGCTTGGCTCCAGCACCAACCAACTACCCTTGCTGCCAGACTGTGAGGAGGCAGCCACTGCAGCCTTGTGCCATTTGGGGTCCCACTTGGGGCTGGGGCCCATCGCTGTGGCAGGGACCAGCCATGGCCCCACGGACCCTCCAGCAGGGGGGCAGGGTGCTTTCCTCAGGTGTGAGCTGGGCCACCCCAAACCCAGCTCCTCGGCACTGTTTTTGAAGTGGCACCAGGCAGGCAGGGACTGGCTTTGCCCTCCCTTAGTTCAATCATTCCTGACATCATCACGTGGGGCAATACAGCAAAGGGAAGAAAATAATCCAAATCCTTCTGACAGCCGGTTTTGCCATAAAACAAAGTAAGGTCAAGGGACCTGTAAAGGAGACACAGTTTTGGGGGATAAAGCGGCAAATTGGATGTCATCATATCCCCACAGGTGCAATCAACAATGTAACAGCAGTGTCTGAAGCTGAACGTCCATGAGCTGCCTGCACTGCAGCGTACTGTACAGCGCAGCACCGCACCGCACCGCACCGCTCAGCACCGCAGCACTGGACGCCGTGTTGCCGTGCGCAGC